GATTTAACAGGAAGCCAATGAAGAGAAGCCAGGATAGGGGAGATATGATCTCTCTTTTCATTTTCATCAGAACTCTGGCTGCAGCATTTTGGATCAGCTGAAGGCTTTTAAGTTGGACCTGAACTGGAGGATGTAGATTAATGATGATCTGAAACAAGGACCAGCTACCCTGGACTCCTCATCATCTGCCAGAACGTTCCTCATTTGAATCTTTGTGGAAGAAAGGCAGCATCCCTGTGAGGTTCTGGGAGGAGATTCATAAACAGAGGAGGTTCTGAGGCTGGAGGACTTTCAGTTTCTGAGAGCAAATAAAGAAATGGCAGAGAAAGAAAAAAAGAGAGTAGCAGGTATAAAAGTAGACCAAAGGTCAGGCAGTTCTGAGGCAGAAAGGTCAGAGGGATGGAGGAGGATCTGCTGGGGTTCAGGAGGACCGATGGATGAACAGGATGAGATGTGTAAGTGGGCACCGAGAGGAAGAAATTAATTTCCAAGCGGCCCCTGAACGTCTCATTCGAATCGTCACTAAGCTCTGTTCTCGCGGGATTACGCCACCCCTCTCAGAGTGGCTGAGCCGCTTAAGACTAGGTTCTCGCGATGTTTTGCTGCTGACGGAATACAGCGAAGATGTTTGGAGTTTTTTAATATAAAATTATTTATTTAAATAAAAATGGCCGCCGTGGAGCGCGGAGCGGACAAACTGTAAGTGTTTTTAATCCTTCATCCTCCTTTTTCACGGCTTCGTGCTGAGATTCAGCGCCATCGTTTCCTCCGCAGAGCTTTATGACACAAAGTGCGCAGATTTTCACCCCGGGCCGTCTCTGCGGAGCGGGGTTAGCGGGAATAACGTCACATATTCAGCCCGGACCGAAGCTCATCGGAGCCCCGCTGCTGGAGCTCCGGAGGGCCGCTCAGGGCTCCGCGCTGCCCGGGGAGGAGCTGCGCAGGCTGGGCAGAGGGGCGGGGAGTGCCGGGAAGACCGGGGAGGCTGCGGGGCTGCAGCTCCGTCACAGCTAGCTAGCTAGCTACTGATGTTATGCGCACATGCACGCGCTCCATAATAACCCGGCTCCCCCCCACCGGAAGCTCAGCGTAAACTGTTAAAGAGCTGCTGCCGGAGTGCCGCTGAGCAAGAGTATGCGCGTACGCGAAGGCGCGTGCCCGCTGCGGTTTCAGCAAGTCAGCAGCTTACTTCCTGTTCTGGTAGAAACAGTTTTAACCTGGAAAGAGTTTTCTAAGAACAGAAATAGAAAATTAAAGAATGTGAAACGGGTTCTACCAAGATGCTCAGTGAGGGGGGGATTTAGCATTAGACAATACTAGGTAGTTGCCATAGCAACACTATGTTTACATGTATGGTTAATACAACTATTACTCATTTGTGCACATTTATTATTATTATTTTTTTAAATGCCATCAGAACGCTGATAATATTCAGTGTGTCTCAGCCCCCCCCTTCAGTGTCCACC